ATCGCAAATCCTGAGCATGGCACTTCTGTGCAGCCCCGGCAAATAGCTGAAGACCCGATTTCAAGGATGTCGACGAATCTCTGCCGCACAAACACAGGGCTGTTGGGAGATTTATACCCATCGTCAAATATCCACGGGGCGGTCTGCTTCACGCGAGAAAACCAAGAATCATGGCTGGCGCCGGCTGACATTGTCCAAATCTTGCTTGAAACTATGTGCATGTAGCCTCCTTTGCACATGTTCCTCCACGATCATGTTATGTCTCTCTGCTTGAATCGACAATCGAGCGAGCACGGTCTTTTGTTAGAAGCACGCTGGTTTAGCAAGCATGCAAAACGAAAGCTCTGAGTTATAGGGTTTAGGCTTTAGGGCTTACGGTTTATACAGAGTTTGTTGGGTTTACATAGGGTTCGTACAGGGTTTATATAGGGTTTAGGCGTTGGGATTTCGGCTTACCGGCTTGAGGCTTGGGTTTACAAGGAATAAAAGGCCTCCTCGTGGTGGGCCTCCAATCACAGTAAAGGTATGAAATCGACGCCGATACGTGGCTACTATAACTGATTATCCAAGCAACTGGAGCGCAACGCTATACAAACGCCTCAGTGATCTTGCTCTTTTTTGTGGGGAGGGAGGGGTGCACCCGAAGAATCAAACCTCGAAGGCCCTACGTTACATTGCACCTTTGGCACCAGGGCGATGCTGTGGGGCTGGGAAATGCATACTAGCTCTCCTCGAGGGTTAAGCGAACATGCAGTTGGTGGCAGTACCTCTTGATCCCACAGGCTCGTAGTGCAGGATGGAGCATTGGACACTGCAACAAAAGGCACCAGGTTTTCCAAACCCTAAGCCCGAAGCACAAAAGCCTCGAAACTCCATAAAAGCCTGAACCCCAAAACCGCCCTATCTTGATCCTACAGAACTTCTAGGGACACATAGGTGATTGTCAAAACCATGGTCCCTTTTTGGGTCCCTATGATAATACGGCACCGAATATTTAGGGTACCCGAAAAGGGGACCCTAATTTTGACAACCACCCACATAGAAGGACATCATAACAGCAAGCCCTAGAGCTGCAGATTCTTTCGGGGTCACACGAAGCGCCCGACTTGGAGGTGCATGGCTAGTTATAAGTGGGGTCAAAAATCCCTTAGTATGAGTTATAAGTATAGTATAGTTGCCTTACTTATAACCCCACTTATTACTACCCATGAACCTCCAAGTAGCCGCCTGAAGCTAAGATCTTTGAGCCCGAAACTTTCTGAAGCTAAGAATCGTTTCACCAAAGTACCTTGATGTGGGGGTCAGGGCTTACTGTAGGGATACCCAGAGTACCCCCTAAACCCGAAACAAAGTTGGCCGCACATGCAATCAGACAGACAGCAGCGACGGGAGGCATCGGTGGCTCCCTCGTAAAGAGGCCCGGAGACAGGCTTATCCATCGCTGCCGATAGCTCCTTGAGTTGCTTCTTCTTGGCATTAGACCGTTTCCCCCATCCATGCCGGAAAGGGGGCAAGGGCGAGTGTGCGACTCGGTGTTGACGATTGGAAGTTCTGGGGGGCTTTGCCCGGAACGGTGATCACTTGGTTGGCAGATGTGTTCTGTATGCCGTGTGACAAAGCTCCAGGGCATCCTCCTGAAGGAAGTCCGGGCCACGGTTTAAGCCCAGGGTCCAGGGTTTAGGGTTTGGGGTTTGTTCTGCAGCTGGGTCGCGACAGGGCTTGTAGGAGCTACCATCGCCGTGTTCAGCGGAACGAGGAAGGAAGAAATTCTCGGCATCCTCCGGCGCAGGCAGCGCTCCTGGATCCTCGACCCAGACCCCGGGAGGATCCAAAAAGTAGATCCGTTAATGCATGGGGGTTCCTATAAAGTACCCTTAGTAGTATAGGGCTCCAAATTGAGGGATCTACTTTCTAGATCCTCCCGGGGGTCTGGGAAGGAGAATGGCCTCCAGCATTCTCTTCCTGCCTTTGGTGGCGCATATATAGCAACTCTTCGCTTGAGATGATCTCATGATTTGGGGGGCCAATCGGCTACGAATAGAAACTTGCATGGTTGGCTGCTGAATGACAAAAAGTTCATTGTAGAGGTCCATATGGTAGGTCACTCTGTATGATAAATTGAGGCTGTACTAAAGCCATTTCAAGGGTGCGCCAAGGCTTTGCGGGTATAGTCAGGCTGTAAGAAAGCTGCATTCAGGATGTTTTGAGCAAGTAGGGCTACTTTAAGCAGCGTTCACCTGCTGAAGGTGCCACATGAATCAGCTACTTTCGATGAGCAATCAGCCAGAAGAAGCAGGACTTTCCCTTCCCGCTCTGGGCTTATAGGGTTTAGGGTTAGGGTTCAGAGGTCCAGTTCAGGGTATGAACTAACCGTTTAGATTGGTTTAGTTTCAGGGCTTAGCCACCAAAAGCAGGTAGTTCTCTAAATTAGGCTCCCTTTAGATGCGGCACCCTTATAAAGAGGACCCGCAAAGGGACCCTAATTCAAAGAACTACCCATGATCATATTGAAAAATTGACCGATCATCAATCCCGAAGTCGCTGAACTACCAGATCAAACCGCCCAAGTCCGCTAGATCGACACTCCTACATCCCTGGGCTCGAGGGTTTTGGGTTGAGGGTTTAGGGCAGAACCTGCAAATATCTTCGCATCCCTAACCAAAGAGACTTGTCCAGGGAGTTCCCTCAGGCCACCGTCGGCAGAACTGAGGCGCTGACCCACGGCCCTGGTCACAAGCTTGAACTTGCTTCGAACCGAGGATGATGATCAAACCCTAAACCCTGAACCCCACACCCTAAACATCCCTAAACCCTAAACCCTGTAGACCCTAAACCACCCCAAAAAGTCCTCGACCCTTCAACTCCAGTAAAGGCTACCTATCCAGACAGGGGCCCCCGAACCGACGTGTGCAGGGAGAGCCCTGGATCCTAAACCCTTAACTGCCTTAACTTTCGGGTGTAGGGTTCCGGTTTAGGGTTTAGGGTCAAGGGTTTAGAGTTTAGTTTTAGGGTTTAGGGTTTCAGTGTCTAGCGGCCCCGACCCCTCTGTTTCAGGTAGGTGTGTTGGCTTCGGGTATCCTTACGAGGTGCTGCAAAACCCGTTTATTGGGGTTTCATAAGTGCTGTACGGTACAGGATCCATGACGGCTGTATATGGGTAGTTGTCAAAAATAAGGTGTATTATTGCAGGGACCCCCAAAAGGGACCACAATCTTGACATCCACCCGTATATGGTTTCATAAGGGCTTCTTGGTGAGATCTTCAAGACGTTTATTCCGCTTCAGTCTTAGAGCTTGGTCGGATCTCGGGTTCGTAGGTGTTGGGCTACCCATAGGCCCCGTACTAGTTCCTTTTGGGGGTTCATACCTTGAGTTTTATAAGGTAATCCCAAAAAAGAACCACCATGGAGCCTACGGGTAGGGCGTGAGATCTCATAATTCCTGAGCTCTCAATACCCAAATTTTCAAGCTAAAGCTTTCAAAGTCAGGATGGACAGGCTGAACCCAGAAGCTCCTCACTGCCCTTACAGTAGAAGCCAGAAAGTTGGAATATCATTATCATAATCCCTTTAAGGTAAAATATAGGGGATCCTACCATGAAACCATATTCCAACTTTCTGGCTTCTACTATAACCCTTTCATACCATGAGATCCGTACCCTGCCCCCGGCAAGTAAGCAAAATGTCCTAGACCCCGAACTACTACCCGTACCACCATCCCCACCCTGCATTGCCTGTTGCCCTTGGTCTCGACGGCTGCCTTCACAGATTCGTTGGGGTTTGTCACTGGTGGTTGGGGATGAGAATCAAAAGGCGCTGCATGAAGCAAAGGGAGTTCTTGAAGTGCTGTGGTCACTGTTTTGGTCCACTAGCGCTTACTATCATCATTCGGAGTGCAAGGCAGCATGTTTGTTGGTCGCACGTCCCGCATGCACGCTGGTTGCAGCAAATCACAGCTGCCGAACCTGCGACTGGCATGCTATGGTGTTATCATACCTGCATTTGTGCATGTGCTGCACAGCGGAGTGCTGTCCAATCACTTTTCCCGGTGAAAAGGTACCCATATAATACATCCACACCAAAAGCCACCCACCCTAAGCTTAAGCCCTTCAGCAGTGAAGCTGTAAGGCCCAAGTAAGATGCTCTAGAGGCACGATCGCCCCGAGGATAGGAGAGGACCTCATGAACACGTGTTGATTGCAGCCTGTTTACCGTTCACGTCATGCTGGGATCCGACTTACCTGCAACATCATTTTCTACGCATGCGAAGGACCTGCACACTTCGTTTACCATAGAGGTCCAAGCAAAAGCGTGTAGTGCGTATACTTTTGGGGCCGAGATGTCTAAGAGTGTACTAACCAACTAATTATGCTATATTGGTACTTTGGACCCTGTGGGGTGCAGAGAATCATACAGCGCGTGCCTTGTCCCGGGATTCTGCTGGGCTGTCGTCGTTGGCATTGAGGATGCACTGCGCCACCTCGCAGATCCAATGATCACGCGCATGTACGACCCGATATCTTCCGATACAGAGGCCTGAATAACAGGCAACATTATTCAGTAGGGTTCATTCACATAGTTTACCGCTAGATAAGCGATGTGCGATGTGCCTTAATTGATAACTATATGCTAGAGTATATGCCAAAACCCTATAACATTCTAAGTTAAAGGCTCCTATAGCTATATATTCAATGTGAAGCAGAACCCAAGATCACATCCATGCACCCGAAGCCTCCTCCTCAACCCCGGAGCCTCCACAAAATCCTGTTCCCTGGGGCGCAGCCTTTGCAGCCAGTAACTCCCCAGGCTTGCAGCTGTCTGCTGGTGGGGCGTCCACGACCTTGTCCACGGAAGTCAGGCTTTGGGGCATGGGCATGGGATTTCAGTTCTGATCTGAGCACCCAAGCTCACCCCGCACCCCAACGAACTTTTGCTGAATCTCCGGTGCTTCTTCGTCGGTTGAAACAAGAAACAAGCCTAACTACAGCTACCACCTTGCCAACTACTTCAGTCGCATGCGCTTCTCCCAGGCTTCCAGGTAGCGCCGCACTTCGGACGGAGCATCCACAGGAAGAGCGCCGAGGACTTTCAGCACATCGTCCGCAGTGCAGTCCCCTAGAGGATTTGAGCACAAGGCCTTCAAGTGCTGAGGTTCCCACAAACCAGTCCGGGCGGTAGTTCCCCCTCCCTCCCACCAGCTCTTCTCTTTCACCTGCTTTGCCTTCTCTGGCGGCGCCTTGGCACCCAGAAAGCCGCGAGCCCCGCCTGGGTCTTGTTAGGGAATTCAACGGAGGTTATACCACAAGCAGCCATATTATATACTAGAGAACCCTATTGTAGTAACGTAAAGCAAAGTCATAAAGTTTCAGAATAGGTGTCGATTTCAACAGCCCCCCATCATTACGTACAATTCGGTCTTTCTAATTAGAAAAGAAGTATCGCAAATCGATACCTAGTAAATTATAGAAACTCAGAGAACAAAGCCCTAAAACCCCTAAACCATAAATACCCTAAACCCTAAATCTGAAAATCCTACATCCTAAATTCACTAAATTCCCTATAAAACCCTCAAGTTCCCTAACAAAAACCCGAAAGTTCCGTAAAAAACCCTAGGAAGAAGAACCCCAGGGCCTCGATAGGCGGTCCGTATCCACAGGCGCTCGGCCTCCGGGGGCGAGTTCTCGCCGATGAAGGCCTCAGGGGCTGAGCTCCCTAAAATCGGGGCCTTACTAAGTCTTAGCTGACTTCTGACCCCCTCCTAGAAAGTTAAACTTTTTGCCTCCTTATTCTAGTTCATATAGAAACCCAAAAAGTTAAAGTCTAAAGAGCCAACCAGAAGAACGCCAGGAAGTACTTAAAGGATCATGGGACTTAGTAAGTAAGGTTCTCAGTACCTTAATTGGGGTTACAAGTAGTTTTAAGTATAGTTACCTGAATTATAACCCTAGTTGCCTTATCATGGTAGAAGCCCAAAAGTTGGAAACCAAATAGCCTCTATCCTCAAGAGTAATGTAAAGGAATCCCAGCACTTTTTGTCCTTAATCAGGTTTCCAACTTTTTGGGATTTACTATAAGTAGACTGGTTTGGGGGCCCATTATCTCATATTTATAATAAGCTGAATTCAAGATATCAAAGCCCCAAAGCAGTCAGCCCAGTTTTTGCTGTTACAATCATAACATTATTGGATTCTATTATTGTTACTCTTGTTCTTCTGATTATGGTATAGGAATTTTCATGCCCCAGAGACGCCTCCTGTTCCAGCCACAAGTGGAAGCGAGAACTGGACTCCGATGCCTCTGCAGTGCTCGGCACGCTACCGGCTATCGCTTCAGCTGCCGCTTCCGGTGTTGGCGCCACAACGCAGACGGCCAGATCGTGCAGACAGTTCATCAACGGCTCTGGGATGTTGCCCATCTTGATCTCCGCTACGCCAGTGGGGGAATACGCCGTCACGGCCACACGAAGCGAATCCGTAGCCAGTATGTCCACGAGCTTGTGCCAGCCTCCCTTCTTCGGCTTCCCCTCGAGTCGTTCTGCAGACTTCAGCACATGGCTCAGGCAGCTTGACAGAGCCTTACTTCCCAAATAGGCCAAGGAAATAAAAGGTAAAACTTTCAGATTACTACTAAAATATACAGACCCAAAACGTTTAAAGGTCGGCTATTGGAGAACTAAGGAGCATTGGCCTTGTCCATGGGTAAGGCTGGTCCGACGACACGTGCCCAGCACGCCCTGGGCCTCGCCGAGGTGTCGCCGAGCTTGATCTCAACCTCCTGACCCACCGGGGGCGATCCCGGCATGCCGTGGAAGTCCTCCGGCACTGGCCCTTCGAAGCTGCTGATGTGGATGAAGACCTTAGTTGCTGAAAACAGTTCCAAAAACTGTGCAAGTTTAGTTTTACAGTGGGTAATATTATCCCAAAATTGTATCCACTCAGCTACTAAGAGACATCGACTGTTCGATCAGCTTCCTCCAGCTGGCAGAAACCGAAGCCCCTGTCCAGCATAAACGTCTTGATCCTACCTCGCTTCGTCGACGTAGCCTGGGTTCTTGTTAAGGGATCTAATTCAAGTTACCACAATAACTTAACCCTGTTAAATACTATTACAATAGATCCCTCTAGTGGTAACGTACGTTAGATTCCTTAACTCCTAAACTCACAACCCTTAAAAAGCCCTTTCTGGAACACTAAATTATGGTAACCTAATTACACTTGGAGGTTCATGGGTAGTTATAAGTAGGGTTATAAGTCCACTAATAGGAGTTATATGTATAGTTACCCTACTTATAACCCCACTTATGACTACCCATGAACCTCCAAGCATTCCTTAACAAGAACCGGGTAACCTCCCCAGGCGCATGGCTCTCCTTGCGGGGCAGCTGTGGGGCGGCGGCCACCTTGGCGCGCAGAACGCGCGGCTCCTTCTCTAAGTCCTCCACCTCGACCTTGGGGAGGAATTGACCCGGGCCCATACCATTTGCACCAATGAATCCGCATATATATATATATATATATATATATATATATGTATAACCTACATACCTGTTATATACTATGAATCCCCATGTGGTATATACATGTTATAGGAACGGGACCTCGATCTGGTATCCCTCCCCGAACTCCGGAGGGATCTCTCCCTCGATGGCACTCGCCCGCAGGAGGATCTGCTCAGCTCGCCCCGGCAGGGCGAGGTAGCCGCAGGCTTGATCCGGATGGTAGGAACCTTAGGGGCTTAGTTTTCTTAGCAAACATGTTTGACCTTTCAATTATGGTAGGGTTTAGCCCAACACAAGGTTGACCTTTTCAACTATGGTAGGGTTATATAAACCCCACAGGTACTAAGGCGAAGGAACGAAGCATGCCACGGATCCAGGCTTTGCTGGTGACCTGCTCTGGCAGCTCCCAAGGTTCCTTCGCTTGCTCGGGAGCAACTTCGGGTGCCGGCGGTTGCGCTGGTCTGGCCGGTTCCTGAGGCAACGGGGCCGGCACAGGGATGCTGGGTGCTGGGGCCGGGGCCACCTGCCGAAGCTCTGCTGGCGGAGGCTTGGGTGTCGGTGGCACCGGCGCCACTTGAATCTCAGGCGCGCCCGTGGTCTCATGCTTCATTTTGTTGGAGACCTTGTTCCGCTTGGGAATAGCCTGAGAGACGACGTGATTCAGGTCGGGCGAGGGCGGTGGAGGTCGATCTGGTTGCACCTCCTCCGTCTCACCCGACTGCTTGAGAAATGTTGATGCCGAAGATGGCGGGAGCGAAGTGGCGGGCGCCTCTTCCCGCAATGTCGATGCTGCGGCTGCAGGGATCGTCCTGGTAGCTGGAGTTGCCACGCCATCGGCACTTTGCACCCGAGTCACCCAGCCTGGCAAGGCTCTGCCTTGAAACTGTGCCTGGGTTCTTGCGAAGGCTTTGGATTTAAGCTACCATAATAATAAGGACCTGTAGTAAATAATATTGCTTAGCATTATGGTAACTTAAGGTAAATATGGGGGGTTTCCGAAAAAGGGGGACCCTAATATAGCACCCCTCACTTTCGGAACTTCCCGTATCGCTTAACAAGACTACACTGAACCTAGAACCCTAGCAAAAGTTGTATTTTTAGCTGTTTCCTAGGGATTGCAATAACCGAAAATCAAAAAATGTTTCTAAGTACCCCTAAGAACTACCCTATAATGGACTAGACAATGGGTATATAATAGCTATATTGAGGGTATATTACCTAGGGGTCCCCATTAAGGGTCCCTCCTTTTCCCCTTTGATTAACAAGAGCCCAGGTGCGGCAGATCGCGGAGGGCACGGAGGTTCGACCTGGCGAGCTGGCGGCCTCGTGGCGTGTGCGCAACTCTGCGAGCCGTTCTGGGTGCTGCCGTTACCATTCCTGAATTGGTGAAGAGAATAATAACTAGGGTTCCTTTAAAGGGGTCCTTTAAAAGGGTACCATAAGGGATCTATAAGGGTACCATAATATACTACCAGGATGCCCAGTAACCTAGGAATAAAAAGGGCTCCCTTTTTGGTATTGGGTAACTTTATAAGGAACCTAGGACTACAAAATGGGAACAAGGGTACTACTGTGCATCCTAGATTCGAGTAGCGGCGGTATCGGTATTGGCCTCGGCTCGAAAGCCCCAAATCCTAAACCCCAAAACCCTAGACTCCAAAACCGTACGCCCCCAAGCCCCTAAGTGCCAAAACCTAAACCATCCTAAACCCCTAAACCCTAGCCCTAGACTTTAGGCCCTACTTGGAGGTTCATGGGTAGTTATAAGTGGGGTTATAAGTCCCCTAATATGAGTTATAACTATAGTTACCCTACTTATAACCCCACGTATAACCACCCATAAACCTCCAAGTACGCCTGAAGCCCTATACCCTTCTAGAATCCCTATAGATCCCTTTAAAGGGACCCTCATAACATCTTTTAACTACCCATGAACCTCCAAGTCAACGACTAAAGCCCTGAGCGCCTTGGCTCTCGCGCTGACCGGCAAGCCGGATCCAACTACCCACGCCGGTATCAGCCCAATAGTCAAACACCTTTGCCAAAGGGCTTAGGGTTTCGGGCTACGGTAGAATGGGTTAGGGTTTCAGAATGGGTTAGGGTTTAGGGTTAGGGTTACAGTGGAATGGGTTAGGGTTCAGGGTTTAGGGTTACAGTAGAATGGGTGAGGGTTTAGGGTTACAGTAGAATGGGTCGGGGTAGGGTTTGACGTTTAGGGCTTGCGGGTCCCAAGCACCTATATAGTAGACTGTAGGGTTTACGGTCCTCAGTACCTTATGGTCGAATGTAGCGTTTCTTTAGTAGGAATTACGGTTGTGATTTGGGAAGGTATCCCTTTGGGCTTGCTCTTCTCCAACAACCGGGCCCCAAAAATCCCAAACACTTTGTATCATAGACAACAATGTCTAAGCCTCAGAAGTTCGAACTCCCTGAACCCTACACCCCGAAACAAACCCTAAACTCCTGACCTTCACCCCATCGGAGAGCTGGCAGTTTGCCACCATCTCCTCGATGAAGCTGGTGATACTTGGGTTCATGGTTACCTTGCCGGAGTCTTTCCTTGCTCCCCCACGCAGCCACAGAAACCAAAAAACACTTTAAGATTACTACCATGCTAAAGAAGAGCACCAAAAAGACTCAAATACAAGACTATAAGACCCCGAAAAGCTTAACAAGTTAGGTAGTGGAGAGCTAAGTTTCTCAAAGTTCACACCGCTGCCGTCGTCGATGCCAGCGAGACGCATGGCCTCGCTCAGCTCCGGCAATGACAACAGCTCGCCCAACAAGATGTACCTTGAAGTACCACGTACCACGGTTTAGGGCTCAGCGTTCTATGGGTTTGCGGGCTTGGGGGGATTTTGGCCACGTTCCTGACACAGAGATTAAATTAGATACTCGGGTGTATCAATCATAGGAACCTAGGGAAAATTGGCTGTGGTAGGTTTGGAGTACTTGTCGCTCCGTACATAAGTCAGGTCGTCAGTGTGGCTGATTCGCGCCCGAAGCTTCGATGCGAAGTCCTCCATCGGCGGCGGCGGTCTCAAGGAATGATCTACGAAGGGACTCCAATAGCCCTTAATTAAGCTTAGGAATATACCTTATAAAATATTTATAATAGGACCCCAAATATGATTCAACAAATCCTCCTTATATAAGGGATCTTGGAGTCTCCGGGTACTAGCAGCGCCTTGATGCCGTAATAACCGGAATAGGGCTTTGGGGTATATAATAGTATCATTAACCATGTAGGAACTAGATAGGGTATGTTATTATTAAGTAGTATCATGAATCATGTAAGAACTATAAAGGGTATGTTACTACCAACTATGCAGACCTCCCCCCTTTTCTTGCATGCTGCAGCTTGAAGTTATGTTCTGTGTCGTTGGAGTCTTCTTTGCCATCTGAGCCGTTCAAAAGGCTACGCCACCAGGTCGCTGTCCCTCTATGCAGCCAAGCGCGTAGATCACAGGGCTTAGGGGGTAATTAAAGGTGGATGTGCGTGCCTTCCCTCTCACAAAGCAGCGACCATCCCTTCTACATCACCGCAAGCCGGCAGCAACGATCGCATGGCCCAGCAAGTCACTGTGTTGTAAACCAGCAATCTATACCTGGAATACCCTAAAGCTCCTAATCCCTAAACCCCTACAGTAGAAGCCAGAAAGTTGGAATATCATTATCGTAACCCCTTTAAGGTAAATTATAGGGGATCCTACCATTAATCCATATTCCAACTTTCTGGAGTTCCCTTTATAATGGAACGAGGGAAGGACCCCAGAGTGAGTATCAACCCCTCCATATAGAAATTCGCGGAAACCCTCCAACATGTAGGTTCTGGTTGGCAAAAGCAACGCTAAGGGTTTTCAAGTACAACAGACTGCAGCTATGAGTCATTAGTGGCGTAGAGCCGGCTAATTGGCACTAGACGCCTAAGAACTCTCCCTGAGCGATTAAGTCCGAAACCCTAACCCTACAGAAACCCTTATCGATCCGTTTAGGAACCCTAGGAAGGGACCTTATAGTACCTTTACCTTTCCGAAAGGCCAGACGTCATCTACGCGTGCTATGACTCTGAACCACCGAGCCGATAAAACCTGAACCTTACACCCTTAAGTCTAACCTTTAGGGGTTCCTCTAAAATTCTAGAGCTTGTGGGTTCCGTAAGGGTTTAGGGTTGATGATTTCCTTTAAGGGTTTAGGGTTCAGCTTCAAACCCTACCCTAAGTTCTCTGAGCCGGAGTCTGAAAAGCTGCAAAACTTGCCTTCCCTCGCTGGGCCTTGAGGCCCAGGTGCTTTTTGGGCTTAGTGCTTTTCGGGTTTGGGATTTTTAGGGTTTGCGGTCGGTACTTGGAGGTTCATGGGTAGGTATAAGTGGGGCTATAAGTAGGGTAACTATACAGATAATTCATATATGGGAACTTATAACCCTACTTATAACTACCCATGAACCTCCAAGTAGGATTTTGAGGTCAGAACCTCGTCGTCAGTGGACAGCTCCTGCCACAGCAGTGCGAGGCACTCCGGGTATCGGCACGATTGAAGCTACACTAGGGGCCTTCATAATTAGAATAGGGATCCGTTAAAGGGTACTAGTATTATACGGAGCATTATAAGGGTTACTACAAGGGTGTAATATCGGGGCCTTAATAAATAGAATAGGGCTTTGGGATCCGTTACACTATAATTTTAATAAGGAGCCCCCAAACTGGTATTGGTTATTCTTTCGGCCCCTATACTACTTGGCGACAAGTTTCCGCAAGGTTGGAGTCTAACTTTCGCTGCTTACAACAGTAGCTCGAAGGGTTCAGGACTCACGTTTGAACAACTCCTACGCTCTCCGACCAAAGCCTCCACAAATCTCCACAAGCTAATACAAAAAATAGCCAGTATGGGAAGCCCCCCCTCTCCTGCCGGGGATTAGGGTCTAAGGTTGAAGGTGGTTGTACCCTAAACCCTAAACCCCTGAACCCCAGAACCCCTAGTTCCTAAACCCCTAAAGCCCTTTCGTCTGCACTTAGCATCGGGTCTGGGCATGAGGAGCCTCAAGGGGCTGGGAGCTCCTGTTTCATACACTGTTTCATACACCCCAATGACCCACAAGGTCCACAAGGTCCTAGCCACTCTCGGGGTTCTTTAACGGGTCCTTTTAAGGGCTATTTTACTTTAAAGGGATGCCGTAAGGGGTTTAGGGTTTAGGGCCTTTATCTATGAGGGATGCCTTCCCAAATCACCAACAAAGCTGCTGCTGTAGAAACCCTACATTCTAGTATCTAGGTACTTAGGTACTTAGGACCATTTGGTGAAGGCTTTCAAGCACCAAAGCAACTGAGTCCCTATCAAAGGAGCGCGGGGGCCGGGGGGGGGGGGGGGCTCCGAGTAGACGTCTGCATGAGTCATCCGCGAGATGCCAGAGCATGCAATGGTTGCAAGTTCGCAGCTTCCTGGAAATTGGAACGAACATGATGGGAAGTACTATACGGGCCTTAGTAGTCCAAATAGGGTTTTGGGGGGGGTATACTATACTATAACTTATAAGTTGGAACCCCCAAAATAGCACAGGTAATTGTAGGGGCCCCTTTTGTAGACACACCTCGAAACCTGAAGTCCCTGGTCCCTGCATCCAAACCAGCGGAAGCCCGGCACGCACGGCACCCCCTCCTCCTGCCCCATCAAGCCGTGGGGCTCCAGTTACATCGACATGATTCTTAAGGCTTAGGTTTTAGGGTTTAGGGCTCCAGTTTTTCTAAATAGTAGGTTACTGGGGTATATAATACATGGTTCACCTACTATAGGCAACTGGAGCCCTAGGGCAACATAACGGCCGGAGGACTAACAGGGCTTAGGGTACGCAGCCGGAGACTGAACCTGAAATTCCAATCCCCGTGCCGTTAACCTTACGTCAACTATACTAGCTTCGAAGCGAAACCTGGGTCATGAGCCCCTGATTCCCTGAGGGTCAGCCTCTGCTAGCCGGAATCTCTGCGGCATCGTCCTGAGGTCGATACGGGTGGTTGTCCAAATTATGGTCCCTGTTTTGGCTACCCTAAAGAACGGGTGCCGCATTATACTAAAGACCCAAAACGGGACCCGTAATTTTGAGAACCACCCATACTCTTGTCGGTGCTTCCGGTGTAGGGTTTCGGTGTTTGGGGTGCAGGTTTATGCTGTTTGGATTAGCGGCTTCAGGGTTTGGAGAGTAGGTTTTAGGGTTTGGACTTGTCGGGTTTAGGGTTTATAGGCTGTAGGTGTTCAAGACTTGCCGGTTTCGAGTTCTGTTTTGCTGTGGCGCCTTCGGGATTTTCTTTAACAGTATCCGTATATAGAAATAGAGAAGATCAAGGAATTGCATCAACATTACTCAAATTTCAAATCCCCTACAACCCTAAAATCCTAAACAGGGGCTCAGTGTGCGAGTGGCGGAAGAGTCAGTGGACTTCAGGATTGCTTCGGGCATCGGGCGAACCACAAACCAAGGACTTCCCCCGGTACGTTTTTTGTTTTGGGAAATCCGGCCGAGGGCTTGGGGCTTCGGCTTTTTTGAGATCCTTCACCAAATTTCGTCAACCCCTACACCCTAAACCCTAAACTCTCAATGGCGAAGTCATTGAGCATCCCTGCGAACCATGCAAATGTAAGGCTAATAAACATGCAACTTAAGGATTTATCGTCCACTACGATAGGGGCCTTAATAATACTAATACTAATAATGATAATAATCAAAAATACTATAATGATAATAATAATAATAATGAAAATAATAATAATATTAGTTAGAACAGGGTACTGGGCAATATTTTACTATAGCTATATGTAAGAAGGAGTCCCCAAGCTGGTGTAGGTAAGTATTTACGCCCTGATATTAAACAAGCAACTTAAGGATCCCTAAGGGTCCAGTTGCCCAAATAGTGTACACTTTGGCCTCAAAGTACTCCCTACACACGCACATTGGGCCCAAAGTACCCAAAGGGTCCAAGTATCATTATGGTATATACTTAGACCCCCAGACTACCCGTAAGTATACACCATAATGATAGTTGGACCCTTTGGGGTATAGTATATACTATTTGGGTACATGGACACTTACGGGATTTATCGTCCACTACCACAAAGGTCCTTGACAGCCGGCGCGCGCCGCCACTCTTGTTTGAAGCACTGAACTCGCGGTGCTGCTACAGGTGTAGGGATCAGAAAAGTTTAGCAGTAGCAGTGATGCTTGACTGATTCTGACAGCTGGCTGCTGGCCAAGAGACCTGGAAAATCTCGTAGAAAAAATCTTCAGGCTGGAGCCACATGTAGACAGCGTCACGGCAAAGTAGCCCTGCATGCGGTTCCTTCGCCTCATATGCAGTCATGACCCGCATACATACATGTGTGTATGTAGGTGTAGTACTGCTTGTTATATACTCTTCATTGGCTTCAAAGATGGACAGTGCGGGAGACGCTGAAAGTACACGACTCTGGTCCACCTGCCCAAAACAATATAGGGGCCTCAAAGCTATTAAAGCAGGGTTTGGGGTCCATTTATAGCAGAACGAGTCATAATTCATAAGGAACCCTCAGGAATAAAATCGAGTAGTCTTCCCAAAGCCTCTAAAGTAAACAAAATAACGACCCAATACCTGTAGACGAGGCTATCTTCTACATAGTTTCAGGGCCCAAGCTCCAAGCACCTATAGTCATATACTCTCCCAAATAGTAACCTACATCACTACTATTCGAAACCTAAGTACCTAATTATTGGATCTCAATCCCTAAACCTACCCGTATCTCAATCCAGGCCCCTCTTGGAGGATCATGGGACTTAGTAAGTAAGGTTATAAGTACCTTCATTGGGGTTAGAAGTAGTTATAAGTATAGTTGCCCTAAATATAACCCTAGTTACTAAGTCACTAAGTCCCATGATCCTTCAAGCTCAATCCGTGCTCGCACTTTTTCTATGTTACACGGGCCCGAAACCGATCTCCACGGACACCCCCCTCCAGGCGGGGGCGCCACGACCTGATCCGAGGAAGTCTATGTGGGCTTGAAAGTTCTTCAAAAAAAGAAGAAAAATCGGTTGTGGTATAGTACAGGGGCCTTAATAATTAGAACGATTAGGGTTTCGGGGCCCGTTACACGATAAATATCAAAAAAGCATTCCTAAAACAGTATCGGTAATTATTTAGACCCCTTTGGTACATTCTAAAGTAGGGATAGTACCAGCTTCTAGTAACTATCCTGGGAGATTATATAAAGCTTAACCTTTGGGAGTCTATTGGGATCAAATGTTATTTATTCTGGTACATATTCTTGGATGTTGCAGGCTACAGAGCATGCAGCGCGGGATTCGCTATGTTGAGAAGCAGCTTAGCATGCTACAGGTTACAAGGGGGGTTAATGTTTAGGACTTTAGGGCTTAGGGCCTAGGGTTTCGGGGGATAAGACATAAGGTTCACTCTTTGCTCAGTAGTCGTGTCATGTTCGAAGTTCTGGGAGCCGTGGAATGAACCGTGCATGCACAATCTGATTCCCAAGATGCTGCACCTAGAATGCATATGGGAGTTTCCGAAAATAGGGGACCCTAATATAGCACCTTAAATAGTAGGACCCTTATTATAAGGACCCCCCAAAATACGGCACCTCTTGTTTTCGGAAACTAGTATCTACTCCAAGATTACGCAAGAAGCCCCAAGCTCCCTCATCCCAGATAGGGCTCGAGCGCACGTCGCTTCGTAAGGTCCATCGGCTTAAAGAACCAGAAGCTGTAGTCCATGTCCAAGTAGACCTGCTCAGGGTTTGTTCCTTAAAGGACTCCTGTAAAGGGATCTATAGGGGTTCCTCAACGGGATCTATAGGGTTTAGGGTTTAGGGTCTACTTAAAGGATCACAGGACTTAGTAACTAGGGTTATACTTGGGGTAACTATACTTGTAACTACTTATAACCCCAATTAAGGTACTTTTAACCTTACTTACTAAGTCCCATGATCCTCCAAGTAGGGTTTGGGCTTGAAGGCGTCGGGTGTCTACTGAATTATGTTCACTGGACCTTTATCTAGTCCAAGCCCAAATAGACCTGCAAACTCAGTTTGCTATACAGTCTGGCGTCTCTTAGGGGATCCTTTGTCGCGAGCTTTGTGTCATGTTCAAGACCTTAGAAGTTATGGCAGTCATGGAGCCCCCTGCCAAAAAGATCATGGGGCGGGTTAACACCACAGCATATCGGAGTCGGTTTGGACCTCTCGCAAAGGCCTGAAGAGTTTAGAGGCGTAGGGCGTGTAGGCTGTCGAGCAATGCCGTAAACAGTACAAGCCTGTAAGCCTCTACAGCCCTACAGCATTTGTGTGCCAGCTCTCTGTCTCTCTCTCTCTCTCTCCCTTTCCCTCCATCCCTCCATCCCTCCCTCTCCCTCCCTCTCTCCCTCTCTCTCTCTCTCTCTCTCTCTCTCTCTCTCTCTCTCTCTCTCTCTCTCTCTCTCTCTCTCTCTCGCTCTGTCTCTCTCTCTCTCTCTCCCTCTCTCTCTCTCTCTCTCTCTCTCTCCCTCTTTCCCTCCCTGTCTCTCGCACGCACTTCCTTCATCGCTAAAATATATACATCTGCTGGGCATGTACAAACCAATTTTCCGTTCCATATCCTAGCCATGAAAGATGTACAGTTCATTGTGTGTGCATTGTGAAGCTGAATGCGCGCCACAAGCCGCCACGAAGACCAAGCCCTGAGGCCCTAAAACCCTAAAACCCTAAACCCTGACCCCTGTAGCCTGACCCCCAAAACCCCCCAAAATCTGCATTCCCTAACCCCGAGATTCCGATGCTCAAACCCAAGTCCTAAACCCAAACCTCGAAGACTAAACCCACACCTCAAGTCTGGCTTAGGACTTATTAGGGTTTAGGGCCTATAGGGTTTAGGGGTATAGGGCTAAGGGTTTAGGGGTTGAGGGTTTTAGGGTTTAGGGGTTTAGGGGCCTCGATCCAAAAACAACTCAGCCCCAATATCATAATACCCTTATAGATCCCCCATAGTAACCCTTACAGGCACCTTTAAAGGAACCCTATTCTAATCTTCGAAACCCTAAACCCATACAGCAAAGTGCCGTAACATAAGGGCCTCTCTGGTCCCAAAAGGGTTCAGAGGGGTTGGTGTAGCATCACTATACAAGCTGTCGATTTCAACAGTCCCCAAAGTTACGTAGACTTGGGGCTCTGTATTATCAACAATAAAAGAAAAATCAACAACTGTGCCAAATCGATACCTTGTATATAATGCGACTGGACGGAGATGTGTGTTTCCTAAGTTTTCCGACCACTGCATGAGTCGTCAAGCCCTTATAAACCCTAAATAAGCCCTTGAGCTGCGGGTCTAGGGCCTCGGTCCGTCCTGGAAGCTGAGAGACAAACTCCAAGACGGCCCCTGAGATTCTAGGGCTTCGGGTTTAGGGTTTAGGGCCTAGGGCTTAAGGATGAGGGTTTAGGGTTGCGGACTAGAGGTAGTTCTTTGCACAACATAAGCCCTAAACCCTTAAACCCTGAACCCCTAAACCTCTACTTGGCGACTGGTGCCTCTAAGGCCAGCCTGAATCTGTGGCAAACGCTTACGTACTGCTTTCCTGATTAGCCCCTCGCCCTCAACCCAGCGTGTCCATATGCACTACTATTTGGAATTGGGCCCACCAAAACCACGACTAGCTAGCAACAACTGCTTTCAGGTTGAATAAGCGGACCCTATAGTAAAAGGGTACCACTGGCGAACCTAGCTCTATCACACTTTGTCGCCGGCATATAGCTTATGTATGCGAAAGCGGCTAATTTCTGAACTTCCCCACAGAGCAGCAAGCCAATCCTCCTCAAGTGCATCTTGGGCCCTTGCGCATAAGACCCGGAAAGGACATGGAGAAGTCGTGGCCTGCTGGCTCGCTTCAGATCTTGGACAAGCTTGGGCCTTCATGTGGGTAGTTGTCAAAATTTGGATCCCTCTTTGGGTACCCTAAATATTGGGTGCCGTATTATAATAAGGACCCAAAAAGGGACCATAATTTTGACAACCACCCACGTGTTGTCTGGAGGGGTTTGGGGTTTAGGCCAAACCCTAAACTCTGAGCTTCCTGAGCCCTTTGTGGGTCCTTGCAACAAGCCGTCATTCAAGGACGAACTGGGATTGGGCGTAGTGCCAGGGCTGTTGGGCCTAGGACGTTTCGCTGGCATTCAGGAAGACTACATTGCTGCACAGGACGAAGTCCACAATAATAGATGTCAGGACGGCCACAGCGATTCGCAGTTTCCGCCAACATCGGCGCAGCCATGCGTAGAATATGAGACGATGTTCAGATTTAGCCACAAGACCCCAAAGTCCTCACCCCAATTATCCCACTCCTGAACCCTGTAAACTCCCGGCTCTAACCAAACCCTTAGCAATAAATTTCACCCCCCCTTTTCCAAACCCCTACTAACTGAACCCTGCGCTAAACTTTAACCGGCTTTAACCACAAAACCCGAAGTGCGAATCACCCGAAACATCTCAACCCCTACAGCCCCCCCAAACAGTGACACATACCATGGCAGCAGCAAAGTAATTGACAACCTGACATGCAAAACACACAACATTCAAAGCAGAACCGACCCCGGAACATCCCACACCGTGAACCCTGCAAGGCCTGGTAGAAGTAAGAGCGGTAGTAGTGGCAGTAGAGGTAGTAGCAGTGGTAGTAGTGGTATAAGTGGCAGTAACAGTATAGGAGCAATCTCAAGCCTACAAGAATATCGAAGCCCGAACCCTGAACTCCTAAACCCTAAAACCCTATACAACCCCTAAGCCCGAAGCCCAAACCGCCATAAACCCTAAACGCTGATACCCTAAATCTTCCTAAAAACCCAACCCGAAGGGCCCGATGCACTGTTACGGGGGACACTTCCCTAAGTTTCTACTAGTAATTCCGAATATGGAGACAATACATTCTACTACTATATCGGTACACGTACGACCCTTTGGGCAATGAGCCCTAAATAACCCCTAAACCCTAAGCCCAACCCCTAAACCCTAAACTCCAAACTCTGATGCCCTACATAAACCTTCCTAAACCCCCAAGAAAGCCTGCCATGACGCCACCAGGACGCAGCTTGGGCCACCAGGCCCGGAGGTCCTGGGAGTTTTCGAAAATTAGGGGTACCTTGTTTGGGGTTCTTATAATAAGGATCCTACTATTTAGGGTACTATATTGGGGTCCCCTATATTCGGAAACCCCCGCCTCACTCGGAGAACAAAAATCTGCTGAGCGGGCTGCCCCTAGGTAAATTCACATACGCACATAGTACATACATGTTACAGATTCATACGTACACTCATATTCATTGCGTGGGGAATTGATCTCGATTATGTTGTTGCTCTCCCCACCAGAGCTGTAATGAATATAGGTGTGGCTGGCTTGCACTCTCCACAGACTGGGACCCTGTCTCTCTCACACTTCCACACGTGCAATCTTGTGCAGGCAGAACCGGCGGCCGTTCCTTTTGCACTCGCTGCCGGCGGCGGTTCGTCTGTGCACGGGATAGCTCTGATTGCTCAGGATAGAAGACACATATAGCACTTAGCTATGGGCATTGACTTGAGCCAAACGTTGCGTGGGCGGTCACATAGAAAGGTAAGGAGAAGCGATGCGGTGTGCGTAGCACGTCCACAAGCTTACTCCTAGAGTCGAGGGACGCGTAGCGTGCCCCCTTCTCTTGCACTCTACACGGTCTTGCTCACAGCTCTTATAGTGACACCTTAGAACTTGACAAGGCATCGCAGTCCGTTCGCACCCCCCATGAGTTGCGTCTCCGACGCTGCTCACCCGGAAGATGGCACGATAGGACAACAGAAAATGTTCCGCCGCAACGTTGACATTGAAAATCAGAGCTTTGCATCCCAATTAGAAACGTTGTGACACTCATCTACGTCAGTAACGATCCCCTGAAATGGCAAACGAATCAGGCGTCACCGAAGAAAGAAGCATTCGCGATGGCATTCCACGGGCGAAGCTCAGAGGTCACGAACTGAAAGATGATGTGGTTCAAGCATTGTCTCGCCACCATCTTCGCGTTGACGTAGGATCGCGGTCCCAGGGCCGGAGGTTCTCCTCTGGATACGGGTCCCTTTGCTTTCCTTTGTCCTTGCCTTTGTTTCGGCCCTTGCTGGCAATGTAGTCATGGTAGGTGTTGGTGTTCCAGCCTCCATGCTGCTCATTTCCAGTTCTCTCACGCCCTTTTGAAGGTCCCTTGGCCGAAGAAGCGCTTGCACGTTCCTCCGTAGTGACAGGCGTGTCCATGATGGAAGTACCACCTGGAGGGAGATACTCAGCGGCCGAGATGTGATGTAGGGCTTCCGTACGTTTGGTCGTCGGATTTTGCTGTCTCTCAGCCTTGGATCTGACCAATCTGTCCATGAAATGCGCAGGCATTTGCACATTGTGGTCCACCAGCAATCCAATGGTCTGGACTGAATGATCGGCATGAGTCAGCAGGATACCGACGGGGTCGATGTACAGGAAGTCCACCGGTCCAGTTGGCGTTGGTCGTAGCACTGAGAATTGTTGGTGTCCTGTCACCATCGGAATCACCTCGCACAGGACGTTCAGGCAACAGAAGTGCATAGCCTTCACATCTTCATCCCTGTTGCTCTTCAAGTACGTAGTAGGGTTGAAGTTGTCCCTGCCAATTCCCATCATGTTGGCTCCCCGTGTAAGCAACGAAAGCATCTGATTCGTCCGGAAGCGCTTCAAAGTGTAAGTCCCGTTGGGATCG